CTAACGAGCCAGAGCTCATTGAACACGTGTTCAATGAGCCTGGCTCGGCGAGCTGGCGAGCTGCTCAACGAGCTGGTATTTTTTTTAAAATAAATTAAATTTATATAAAAAAACTCTAATATAATTTTATATTAATTTTTTTCATATTATTTATATGATATTATATATATACTAATTATTATGATGGTGATAATTGAAAATATTAAATGATATTGATGTTTTAATAAATTTTTATGTATTTATTTAAATTTATAATTATATTTAAAATAAATATAAATAAAAAATATTATATATCATTGGCTCAACGAGCCGGCTCGTTCAGATCGGAAAATTGGCGAGCGATCTGAGCCGAGGTTTTTCTGGCTCGTTAGAAAACGAGCCTAACGAGCTGAGCCCAAAACGATCCGAGCCAAATGAGCCGAGCCCAAAACGATCCGAGCTGGCTCGTTTGACACCCCTAATTTTATCCATACCTTAGTTAGGACCCTCAATTTCGGATTTCATCATTTAAAGTCCTTTCTTTTTTTTTAAACCCTTTCATTAATTACCAATCAACCGACTCAGCATAATTGTCACATTCCGTCTAACCATTCAATTAATTACGTAATTTGCTCCCTTAGACGAGACTTTCCTATCACAACTCCCTCTTTATAACCGTATTTACGATTATGCCATTGCCTTTCACGTGGAATTGGAATACGATACGAACGAACACCCGACAAATTGTCCACGTCATCATACTCCCTATTGTTCTTCTTCTATATCCCCCCGAGTCCGAAATATTCACCATTATGCCATACACCGACTCTAGACAGGAAAGAAGAACGCCATTCCCCATTTACCCTTGTGTTCATCCGAAATTTACGATTCTGCCACTCGCCTAGTCTAAGGTTTGGTTCCGTGAAACACAAGTAAAGAGTATCAAAACTTTGCGCCTTTGGCATCGGTTCTCCTTCTACCAAGAGGCAATGCCAATGTACATCCTTTCTCTTTCGCTCCCTAAGAGCAATCTCCATTTTTCGGTCCAACTATACGTATCGACTAGATGAAACTATACTAATATCTGTACAGGAAGATGGAAAAAATACCCAGTTTTTGTTTTCACGCCGTGTGTGGATCATAAGAACCGGCCGTTCGCTTCAGCTTCTGCAGAAGGGTGTTTGCTTTTCTCTTCGCCCTATCGGTTCCCTGCACCGCAATGTTCGTCAGCGTATCGTTCCGGTTTTCCTCCTCACGGACGGCTTTCAGCTGAGATCTGTCTTTTTCGCAAATGCTGAAGATTATCGCAACAGCGTTCTCTTTCATCAGCGGGCAGCTCGGCTTCCTCATGATGCCGAACAGATCGGACATGAACCCGAGTCTGACCATTTCTTCCACGGCCTGTCGATGGGAAGAGAGCAATGCCAGAATAGAAATCCATGCATCCACAAAAACTCCATCTTTGATCTTTTTGGTTAGTACTGGAACTGCCCCGGCTTGTACGGCCTTCTTTTTATTCTCCAGTACAGTACAGAGGTTGAAAACCGCTGCACCGGCGTCGTTCATGGCCAATGAGTCACCCTCTTCGATCAGAATTATAAGGGGAATTAATGCTTCCGAGCTTCCGATGATGAGCTTGTTAGAATCGGTGGTAGACAGAGAGGAGAAAGTTGCAGCAGCGTTTCTTCGAGTCTCCATCGTCCCATGGGTCAATGATCTCGCCAGCATAGGAATCGCAATCGGGTTTTCCACAATAAGGCTTTTGTTCTCCTCGGGAATCGAAAGGTTGAATACAGTTGTGATAAGATCTTCTTGAAGCTCGGGGTTCGAGTTTATAGGGTCGTTTGAATGGAGCTGACTGAGCAACTGGGAGAGTGAATCAGGACGTTCCCTGAGGAAAAAGAGACGGGAAGAGGGGATCCGCTTGGTCAATCTGCGTAATTCCTTTGCCGCTTCTTTCTGATCGGAAACAGAGGAAGAGGATATCTTCTGAAGTAAAGACTCGAGAAGGTCTCGGTCCAACTCACGGGGGGCTTCATCGGTGTCGGAAGCAGGTTTTGGCAGATCAAATCCGTAATCCAGACACCATTTCGAGATCAAATCACGGACCAAATGGTTCGGAGTAAGAATCGTGTGGGAGAGGACTTCTTTGGTTTTTGGACATGTCCGGTCACATTCATTCAGCCACTTCTGGATATACAGTCGTTCATATGTCTGGAGAAAACAGAGCAAAAGACATAACACATATAAGAATCTGTCTTGGATTAGAATCTTTGAAGGCATTGTGTTTGTGTTTCCCTCTATATAACCGCAGATATACATACATACATACGTACGTTGCAAATACATACATACATATAATCCAACGATATGAGAACATTTCATCAAATCTAAGGGCCCAGAATAGATGAATACACTGTATACGTGTATGCAAAGATTGAAACCAGTACGGCTTCCCAATTTCCAGCAAAAAAACAGAGATATGAACAAATTCTTCTACAACTCCGAATGCGCATTTATGTATGCATCGTCTATGAACCAGAGAATTCAGCAAGAAATGCTGCAAGAATCATAAAAGCCTCTCGGAAAACGGGAGATTTTGCCAAAGGAACAAAGATTTCAAACCTGCCCAGTTGCAACGACTACAGGATCGCTCATGATCTTCATCGATAGCGGACAGATGAACTCTTTCGGCACATCAACCGGAGACGAATATGACGACGCCGAAGAACACGAAGCTTCAGATTCCGTCTTTAATTCGCACTCCCTCAGACAGCCCAGGATTCTAATAGCCTCGTCAATGGCTTCTACAACTCCGCCGTCTCCGGCGCCGGAATCATCACCTTCTCCTCCGCCTCCGAGAATCGCCGACAATCTGTGTGCATAACTATTTCTCCTTCCATCAGTTTCTTGACCAACACGCCAAATTCAACGCAGCACAAGGAGAAAATCAAAACCCTAGAACTCGGAGAATCGGGGAAGAAGAAAAAAGGGGATATTTTTGTTGGGAATGAAGAGAGGAGAAGAAACGAAGAAAGAACTGCATCAGTTGGCTTGTTAGTTTTTCGTTCTTCTGCTTTTCTATTTTTCTACTTTTAAAAAATTTTTTCCTTTGGGTTTAGTAATTACGTACGCCACCTGTATATATAGGCTGCCACGTCATCCCGCATTTTTCCCGTTTTTTTTCTTCTATTGCATGGTTTGGTTATAGCGTGACTGGCAGTCACGTGAGTTTACATGACGGACAAATATTACTGCTCTGTGACTTTGATCAAAGCTTGAGAAACTTATTTATTTAGTTTATAAGAAGCAAATTGTATACATGTTTTAAATTGATTATAATCAGATGGTCCACATTAACGCGTAATATTTAAATCATGTGATTTAATTTTTAAGATCCATATGTTTCTATCAACTTTATTGGTTACGGAAAATAAAGTCGAGTGCATATGGATATGGTACGTTATATATATATATATATATATATATATATATATATTGCCATAATAAGAACTGTCGGCTAATGAATTTAATGCAAAATTATTTGCAATTTATATCGGTTTCACACTATTAGATTAGTCATTTATAGGCTTATATAGCTTCTATAGTCGTATTTAAAAATCAATTTAACTTCTGTTGAAATATATAATATTGTATTATAAACAAATGTGATCTCATTTCATATACAACCTAGATATGATTTGTGAAAGACATCTTGATTTTAGTTACAATTTTAAATGCATTGAAATCCATTTCACATGCTACATTTGGAAATTTTGACATTTGACATTTTCAGCTATTCCCAAATATCTTTTATTATTTTGTATCCATATGCTTGTTTAGGTAATGTAGACAAAAAATGGAAAAAACGAATTGTATATTTTCATCTATGATTCTTTTGCAAATAACAATTACGTAAAAATAGATATAAATAGCAAACATCAAAACATGAGGGGGGGGGGGATTCGTTCTAATGTATGCTTAATAATGAAATAAAAACAAATATATAATATTAAAAAAACACAAGCAAATTAGTTCCAACTTCAAAGAGGGACAAAAAGGAGGGTGGGTCAAAGTGTGTGCCGTTTCACAACTGGACAAGAGCACAGCTAACCATTTGGCTGTATGCAAGAGGAACCACATGACTTTGCCGTTTCATCCGCACATCGTGAAGAGAAGAATCCTCGGGGGAGCAATCTCTCTCTTTGTAGACCGCCCGAGAAGTCGGTGCCTTTCTCATGCCACGTGTCACCATCAGGCGTTATTTAATCAACACCACGGGCATACAATTTACCTTGTTTTATTCAAATCAGATCAACCCTAATAGTATATTAATTTAAATATAATCAAATTTTAAAATTAAATATAACTGGTGAAACTAAACTAAATCCGAATATAAAAACAATTGGGAAAACCAAATAAAAACAAACCAAGTTTTGGAGTAATGTGAGCCACCACTATATATATCTTTATGGGTAGATTTTGCATCAAATGCAACGTATTCGGTCCACACTAGATAGCGAAGCCGAATACCGACTTCACATTGGAAAATCGCCTCTATATTTATCCACTACAGAAAATAAAAGGACAATAAAATTTTTCTTTCTTACTATAGAGATAGAGAGAAATATTTTCTTGTTTTTTTATAAAAATAAATATTCTCTTGTTTATAATAAAATTTAAATAAAAAATCGAAACCAAACAGAATAAAAATGGACAAGGATACGAAATAAAACTAAATCAAAACGTAAAATATCCACCCTAATATTTCTTTTCTAAAGGACTTCAATGCATTGGGGCAAGATACCAACAAAAAGAAAATTGTGTGGAAAAAACAATATTTTACCGGAAAATGGAAGCACATATTCCCCAAGATTTACTTATGAAAAAAGCAAAACACTGAGCTCAAGATTCTCTGCGCACCAATCAGGAACTCAGCAATGAACAAATAAGATTTGGACAGAACAGAACAGGACAGACAACTTCTGATGATAAGCCACAGAGAATCTCCCTCATCCACCATTTCTTTCCGTTGCTGTAAGAAAGTGCTTAACCCGGTTAACCAAACCGGTCAGTTAAAATCCGATTCAAGGGTCGGTTTGGTTTTCCAAATTTAGGAAGATTTTATAACGACACCGACCGAGTGTACATGGATTATGTATCATTTTCATCCATTTTCTATGCAACCAAAGGGAGATGAATAGAGCCTCACCGACAACTACTTGTAGATGCTCTGATTCTTCCAGGACACCCGTTCTTCGTGTGCTTTGATTCGGAGGGCTCTCATCTTCTCTTACATTTGGAGGAACTTCAATATCTGTCACAAACAACCAGAGAAGCAAAAAAGAAACTGAAGATACACCGACACGCAGACAAAAGGGATCAGACCAGTGGCGAAAAAATCCTTCTGAATATGCCATTATTATACTCAGAAACTGTAGGAAGCCAAGCGCTATAGGAGATGAGAACATTATGTTCTGGTGATTGAAAGAATGAAGAAAAATCATATGATTAAGGATACAAAGGAGGATACGGGGTCGACACATAACAGCTTAAGCTCCCACTACATCTTACTGCAAGAGTTGTTGAAACAAATCAATGAAAATTGGTTTCAGAGTGTAGAAAACCAATTCCCAAGGGAGAACAGAACAGCCACAATAATACAAGTCAATTAACAAAACAAAAAAAATTACCTTCAAACCGGCTGTTAGCAAGCAAGCATGGCGTGAGTGTGTGTATATATATATATACACACACACTCAATTCTCATTCTGATGGATTATATCTGTCTTCAAAACCATTTTGTTCCTCAGCTCGCCGGCTACTGCGACAGTCATAGGGAACAGTCTTTTGCCTCTTATAATCTGAAGGACCCTTAGGACGAGATGGTGATCTGCGACTACGATAACGATGAGTATCCCTTAGGATCCTATGATCAACGTGGTCATATGATCTGTAACCGCCATGGCTTTGTTGTCTCCTAGAGCTACCAGAATCATACTCCTTATACGGCTTTTCTTTATCAGTGCTCATCCTATAGTCCGTGGAATAATCACTATCCGCTTCATTGCCCACTCTCGTTTTCTTAGAGAATCTAAGTGAAGGATCTGACGATTTTGATGCAGAACTGTAGTCAAAGTCAGATTCTTTCCTGCCATTGCCAGTAGAAGACGGGGAGGGCAACACCATTCCCTCCTCGGGTCCCTTCTCAAAGCACCCGATACCTCCTGCTAATCTAATTTCTTCAGTATATTCTTCTATTATATCCCGTAAGACCTACAAAAGAAAAGATGGAGAAAACTCAGGCATGGAAGAAAATAAGGAGAGTTCATCTCTAAATGAATGCCAAATGAGCCCCTTGAACTATCAGAAATAATATAGCTCTCACAAGGTAAAAGTTTAAGTTTGACATAAAATATTCAAAAACGTTGGAAAATAGTACGGACTCCTTACCTGCAGAGGCGTTCGCTTCACCTTCTTACCACGGTATGTCATTCTCCGGCGTTTGTAATCCCTTTCTTCAGCCATAAGCTCTTCTTTCGTCTTCATTTTGTTGAATTCCTACATGTTATGGCAAACATGTCATTTGAAAAATAACTACTATAACCAACACATGTTGATCCAAAACAATGATAAGAGAAAAAGATGCTCCGCAAGTTTTGTACATGCTTCTACTGGTTCTAACCGGTATTTCAATGATGACATTAAACAACTAACAATTATCAACAGAATCTGTCCCAATACTCGGCAGAAAGCGATGTCGATGTTAGACTGCTACAGTATATCAAAGGAGGCAGGATCAAACTAAAACTAATCGCTTCATGTTTAATGGAAAAGAGCTCAATATTTCCAGAGCATAACGCAGAAGATAATATAAAACCGAATCAAAGCACGGACAAACAACTGAGATATAAATGATAATTTAAAACGAACGTAGTTTGACGATCGTTGCCGGGGAAGACCATCGTGCTCAATGACAGGTCTGTAACCGGGACGTTTTTTCCGCTCCTCATCAGCTTTTGATGTCATAGCATCATGCTCCATCATCCTACACATTGCCAAAACACCATCAGGAACCAAACTTTGACAGAGATGGTACATAATGAAGAAAAAAGATAGAGAACAAACAAGACATCAGACTTCCGATCAACGACACAAAGAATAGTGATATAAAAATGGAATATCCCTTCACAGATTTTAGAATCACCTTCGCAAGATTTTAAACTCACCGTTGATATCTTGTTGGTGGTTGGGTAAATCGAATTGCCCTTATTTTCCCTTCAAGCAGGGACCTTTCGTGCAGTGCAGCAGCGGCTGCCACAACACGGGACACGGATATCGCCTGGGCATCCGCTGAACTTTTACCCTTTCCCCCTGAACTACTCTCAAATGACTCCTCTGCCTTCACATCCTCATCCCCCTGAACTACTCTCAAATGACTCCTCTGCCTTCACATCCTCACTACTGTTGTTTGCGTCTACTGATTCTGAATCCTCTTGAACTCCAGAACATTCATGTTTAGGATGCACAGTTATATTTCCTTCTGACTGAAACATCGTTATTTGGGAAGCTGATTCTATTACGCACTGTCTAAACATGTCTAAAGCAAGAAACCTGGCATTTCCTTCTCCATACAAGACAGCCAGTTGAGAAGCTAACCATGTCACTACTTGAACCAAGATTGCACACTCAAATCGTCTACTTTTCAAACTCACAGCATGCTCATTCCCATTCTCGTCATCGGCATTGGCATCAAACTCTGCCAATCCACGAGCTTCTTTCACAATTGCTTTCAAACACAACTTAAGGAGCATAAACATATGATCCCTCGTGTATGTATCGATTATGACACCATATCTTGGAGAATTGGCCAAAATCCACATTTTCACGTTACTCTTTCCAACTATTTCTAAACCTAGAATCGCAGAAAGAACACCGAACGAATACGATCTGGGGTAATCCCTCCATGCATCAATCTCATTTCTTATCGCCCATAAATCCGATGGCAATAGGACAAACTGTTTTCCCAACATACCCTTTTTATCTGTCTCAGTGGAACCTACGAAATCGCAGCATTCTACGAACAATACACTCGGCAGTGTGAGCGCTCTCCTCCTCCCATCAAGCTCAGATAAGTTAACCACACCTGGGCAATCCTTGTAGAAGAAGCTAGAAGAAAAATCGGCAAAATCATCCAAATAGATACAGAGGTCATCGCCACTGCGGTTCAACGGCAATTCATACGGCGGCTCGACCGTATTGCGATAATTACTAGGGGAACCGAGATGGTGAGTAAGATCCAGAGGCGGTGGGCACCGGAGTGAGTGGAGGAAGAGATCCTCCGGCGGCATGAGGTGATTCGGATTAAAAGGGCAACGAACAAAACCAACATGTTCGTCCTTCCGAAGAAGAGAGAGAGAATCTGAAGCTAGGGTTTGGGAGAAAGAATCTAGGGTACGTTCACAAAGAGAAACCAGAGATTTTAGGGAGGCAAGAGCTCCAGGGAGCTCGCGAACCGGTGGAGGAGGAGGAGCGACGGAGTACTGGTTAGGATTCTGCGGAGGAGGTTGGAAGGAGAAATTGGGATTAGGGTTTTGGGGAGTAGGATGGTAGGCGAAAATAGGGTTAGGGTTTCGAGGGAACGGAAGCGACGGTGGTGGATTCATAGATTCCGGCGAAGTCCGACTCGGCAGACGTTTTTTACTATTGGTTTCGTCCAGGAGCCCTGGGGCTATTTAAATAGGCCCATAATGCTCATTGCTCACCTCCCAACTCAAATGACACGTGGCAATTGTTGGTCATGTTTTATGAGAAAAACTTGTCGTATAAGATATTTTTATTCTTTCAACATGTTAATTAGTTATAATAGATACAATTAATTGTCTACAAATGTTTAAAATTGGATTTCCCCCAATTATAAATGAATGCAATCATTTTCGAGAAAATAAACCACCTATTACAAGAAAGAAAGAAAAACACAGAAAATTGGAATACACCTATTACAAAATTATTTATTTATCATTACCAAAAAGAAATTTTTTTATTTATTTATTGAAAAATATAAACATTGAACGAAAATATCAATTACAGTCCCCATATTATATGGGCTGTTATAAAGAGGCCTATGATTAATGGGCCTTTCAGAAAGCACATGGTCCGTCGGCCATGCAGACATCATATAATCCATGAGACATAGGAAGATCATGGGCTCCATATAAGAAGCCTATGATCAAAATTATATATATATATATATATATATATATATATTTCTGTCTATAGTGCCATTACCTTTATATATTTTTTTTTGTTAAAGCCTTTATATTTGTTATCATTACACGTACACTTGACCGCAAATATTACAACCCACCAAATCTTATTTATACACATTTTGCAATATTGGCACTCGTAATATATAATATCATTCACCATATGACAAGTGGTTTAATAAGGAGGACCGCCGGACGAGAACCTTGCCTCGAGGTACCGAACAACGTTAACGTCCAACTGAAACGCTCTAGCCAAAACGTCAGGAACAATCGGAGGCTTCGACCCGAAAACAGCGTCTGCGATCGTAATCACGCCGGGATTCTGGCTTCCGAGACCAGCAAACGCGACCGCGTTTGTCCTCCCAACGTTCACCTGAAAATGAATCATACCGATGGGGAACACAAACACGTCGCCCGGGTACAGAACCTTCGAGAACAACCTGTTCTTGTCCTGATTCGACGACACGAATCCCACGAGGAGCGTTCCTTCGACCAGCACGAGGATCTCGGTGGCGCGTGGGTGCGTGTGCGGCGGATTCTGCCCTCCCGGAGCGAAATCTATCCGTACGAGCGATACCCCTAACGTGTTGAGGCCCTATTAGTATATGAAACAGTTACAATCTGTTTAGAAATCTGTTAGTTAGTTATATGGCGGTTTATACAATCGGAAGTGTATTTAACATCTGTACAGAAAAAAAACAGAGTAATACAACTGGAGAAATTTTTCATTCTCTCTGCTCAGTTTTCTCTCTCGTCTTTCTCTCTCTGGGTTTTCCGGTCATCTTTCCGGCGAAACCTGAAATGGTATCAGAGCATTTTCTTTAGAATTTGCTTTTTCTGCGAATTTCTCTTTGTTTCCTGATCATCAATGGCGGAGGCACTAGCAGCAAATCTTCCGGCGGCACCTCCACCTGATGTTCCACCTCCAGATTCACCGTATCATTTGAGTTCGAGTGATCAGATGAATCTTGTTCTCGTATCTGACCGTCTGACCGGCGCTTTGGATTACAATTCATGGTGTTGTTCAGTCACTATGGCATTGGAAGGCAGAAACAAGCTCGGATTCATCGACGGATCTTTGCCGAAACCTGCTGAAAATGATCCAAATCTTAGACATTGGCTTCGCAGTAACGCGATCATCAAATCGTGGCTGCTCAATTCTGTTTCGAAGACTATTGCGATTAGTCTCATGTATGCGAAATCGGCTCGAGATATTTGGCTCAATCTCAGCGTCAGATTTCATCAGAAGAATGCTCCGAAGTTGTACGCCATTCGACGTAAGCTTCGATCCCTCAAACAAGGTTCTATGGATGTAGGAAATTACTACACTCATTTAATCACGCTTTGGGAAGAATTAAAGTCCTTACAATCAACTCCGTATTGTACCTGTGGAGGCTGTCACTGTGAATCAGATCATCGATGGTTCGAGTTCTTCGAAAGTACGTTTGTGATCGACTTTTTGTATGGCCTCAACGATTCTTTTGAGACAATTCGTGATCAGATCATCATGATGGATCAAGTTCCAGACCTTGAGAAGACATACAGCATCGTCTCTCAATATGAACAGCAAAAATTGCTGAAATCTCAACCAAATCAAGAATCTGCGATCTTCAATATTATGGAGCAAAAGGATCAGACCATTGCTGCTGTCTCTGGTCCTCAGTTCAGAAACAAACAACGTCCATTGTGTACACATTGCGGTTTGTATGGCCATACAATCCAGAAATGTTACAAGCTTCATGGATATCCACCTGGATATCGTCAGCCATCTCAATCCAATGATTCACATCCTCAAAACAATCAGCCGAAGCAGATGTATCAGAATCAGAAATCTTCAGCTTATACATACCAAAAGGGAACAGTTGCCAATGTCTCTACAAATCAACCTGTTACCAAAGCAGCGACAACTCTACCTGATTTGTCTTCAGATCAAATTCAGCAGCTCATTCTTACACTCAATGCACAACTCGCGAATTCAAAGCCTGTCGTGACTGATCATGGTGCACCAGAATCAAACTTCTGCTCATCTGGTAACATTGCATACTTATCCTCTGTCATATGCTCTACTGTTTCAGATAACCTGTCTGATCAAAATGCCTGGATAATTGATTCTGGCGCTACAAGTCATATTTGCTATGATAAGAGGATGTTTGTTGATCTGTTTGAGATTAAACCAGTGTTGGTTAGTTTGCCGAATGGACACTCTCTGCATATAACTCATGCTGGCTCAGTGAAACTGAATCATCAACTACTGTTGGAAAATGTTCTATATGCACCAATCTTTCATCTTAATATACTCAGTGTTAGTTCTCTACTACGCTGTTTTCCTTTCCAAATTTCTTTTTCACCCGACTCTTGTTATATACAGGAGCCTTCTCAGGCTTGGATGATTGGGAAGGGTAAGCTGCATCAAGGCTTATACTTCCTCGAATTATCACAGTCAAACCCACCTCCATTTTCCATTTCATGTAACGCTCTCGGTGATGACACAATCTTGTGGCACACCAGACTTGGCCATCCTTCAGATCAGAAAATAAAGACCCTGTCCACAGACCTTTCCATCTCCAAATACAAAGCCATACCACACTGCAAAGTCTGTCACCAAGCCAAACAAAAGAGACTTCCCTTTGTTTCCAATAACAATTTGTCTCCTTTTCCTTTTGATCTTTTGCATATAGATATATGGGGCCCCTTCTCTGTAATTTCTAATGAGGGTCATAGATATTTCCTTACTATAGTTGATGATCATTCTAGAGTCACATGGGTTTATATGCTGAGATGTAAGCGTGATGTACTACAGATCATTCCTGATTTTGTAGCTCTCATTGAAAGGCAATATAATAAAAAGATAAAAGCTTTCAGATCCGATAATGCTCCAGAGCTTTCCTTTACTGAGTTTTTCTGTAGTAAAGGCATCACTCATCAGTTTTCATGTGTGCAAACACCTCAACAGAATTCAGTAGTGGAGAGAAAGCACCAGCACATTTTGAATGTAGCTCGGGCATTATATTTTCAGTCACAGATACCCTTGGGATATTGGGATGAATGCATCAGAACAGCAGTCTATTTGATCAATCGCACTGTCTCGCCTTTGTTGCAGAACAGATCTCCTTTTGAAGTTTTGCAGGGGCAGAAACCAACTTACTCGCATCTGAGAACTTTCGGATGTCTATGCTATGCTTCAACATTAACTACAGATCGACATAAGTTTTCAGCTAGAGCAAAAGGTTCGGTGTTCATTGGCTATGCTCCAGGATACAAAGGGTACAAAATTCTTGACCTTGACACTAATATAATTACTATATCCCGTAATGTTGTGTTTCATGAACACATATTCCCATTTGCATCCATACCAAGCCATGATTCAACCCAAACAGAGAGTTTAAACCCGTTTCCAAATTCTATCTTACCTTTTTCATTACCAGACATACCCATTCAGACTTCTGATACAAGGTTATTGCCTGTTTCAGAAGCTCCCTCACATGATTCTGACAACCTTACCATTACTCTTCACAGACCAAAAAGACAAACAAAACCACCTTCTTATTTGACAGATTATCATTGTTATTTGACAAAATCTCAGTCTTATAACAATGTTGATCTTCCTGTTTCTACAGCCTATCCCATCTCTCAATTCCTTTCTTATGACCATCTATCACCCACCTATAGGCAATATGTCTTGAACATTAGTGCCGAAACTGAACCCAAAAACTTCAAAGAAGCTGTATCTTCTGTTGAATGGAGAAAAGCCATGGATGTTGAACTTGATGCTTTGGTTGGAAATGGAACTTGGTCTGTAGTTTCTCTTCCACCTGGAAAGCGGGCAGTAGGTTGTAAATGGGTTTACAAGATAAAAAGAAAGGCTGATGGATCTGTAGAGCGATACAAGGCTCGTTTGGTAGCAAAGGGATTCACACAACAAGAGGGAGTTGACTTCATAGATACTTTTTCACCTGTTGCAAAATTGGTAACTGTCAAGTTGCTCCTTGCCTTGGCTGCAAAACAGAACTGGATTCTTACACAAATGGATGTTACTAATGCTTTCTTACATGGTGACCTTGAGGAGGAGATTTATATGTCTCTGCCACCAGGTTATACTGATGCACAATCTGGAAACATGCCTCGGGATGCAGTCTGCAAATTACAGAAATCTCTATATGGGTTGCGACAAGCCAGTCGACAATGGTACCATAAATTTGCAAGTGTTCTGCTCGAAGATGGTTTCAAGCAGTCCAAAGCCGATCACACATTATTTGTGAGACGTTCAAAATCTGGTTTTGTAGCTTTACTAGGGAACAGTTGCCAATGTCTCTACAAATCAACCTGTTACCAAAGCAGCGACAACTCTACCTGATTTGTCTTCAGATCAAATTCAGCAGCTCATTCTTACACTCAATGCACAACTCGCGAATTCAAAGCCTGTCGTGACTGATCATGGTGCACCAGAATCAAACTTCTGCTCATCTGGTAACATTGCATACTTATCCTCTGTCATATGCTCTACTGTTTCAGATAACCTGTCTGATCAAAATGCCTGGATAATTGATTCTGGCGCTACAAGTCATATTTGCTATGATAGGAGGATGTTTGTTGATCTGTTTGAGATTAAACCAGTGTTGGTTAGTTTGCCGAATGGACACTCTCTGCATATAACTCATGCTGGCTCAGTGAAATTGAATCATCAACTACTGTTGGAAAATGTTCTATATGCACCAATCTTTCAAAAACCAACCCCGGGCAAGGTCTGTTTTATTCTGCATCTTCAGCTCTTCGTTTCAATGCTTTTGCGGATGCAGACTGGGCAACATGTCCTGATACGAGACGCTCAGTTTCTGGGTTCTGTATTTTTCTGGGAGAATCTTTGATTTCATGGAAATCAAAGAAACAGACTACGGTTTCGAGGAGCAGCACAGAGGCAGAATATAGATCATTAGCTAATGCTACTTGTGAGTTAATCTGGTTAACAAATTTGATGGCAGATTTTCAGATTTCCTTGGAAGGACCTGCCAATCTCTTTTGTGACAACAAATCCGCCATGCACATCGCTTCGAATCCAGTTTTTCATGAACGGACGAAGCATATTGACATTGATTGCCATCTGGTTCGCGACAAGCTTCAATCTGGTTTCTTACGGATGATGCATGTGAAGACAGAAAATCAGTTAGCTGATGTTATGACGAAGTCATTACAGCCACAGGTGTTTTCTGTTCTAATGTCGAAGTTTCATATTTCAAGCTTGTATCTCCCTGAAGCTGCAGTCGATTCAAGCTTGAGGGGGGTATATTAGTATATGAAACAGTTACAATCTGTTTAGAAATCTGTTAGTTAGTTATATGGCGGTTTATACAATCGGAAGTGTATTTAACATCTGTACAGAAAAAAAACAGAGTAATACAACTGGAGAAATTTTTCATTCTCTCTGCTCAGTTTTCTCTCTCGTCTTTCTCTCTCTGGGTTTTCCGGTCATCTTTCCGGCGAAACCTGAAAGGCCCGGAATTCTGTCTACGTTAACTGTCGTGACGTTGGATCCAACTCGGTTTACGGTGGTTCCGGGGATGTTTAGGCCTGACGTGAAGAAATCCTCCGCCGTCACGAGTTTCGGGTCCTTGCAGAATTTCCCGTTCACGAAAACTACGAGGAGAAAATCCGATTCAAGATTCTATTATTGTTTTGCATGGTTTATCGACAAATCTATAGTTACATGAACGTTTTTAATTATGAATGATACACTATGTTGTTTTCGGGACTTCATAGTTGATATACGCAAAAAGGGTTTTGTCGTTATGTATATATATAGGTATACATACATACATATATATATATATATATATATGTTTGGATTACCTCCATTGAAGTCGTCGATGGCAACACAGAAGTCCTGAAGAGGACTGGGATCGTAACAAGAAGCAAATGGAGAAGCAAAAGCCAATAAGATTGTTGTCGTTACGAGGAAGTGAATCGATTTCATGTTTTTTTTTTAATGTTTCTTCTATATATCAAATATATGATTTGGTGTGAAGAGGATTTTGAGAGATGTTGCATGAGAAGAATGCCCATTATATAGATGCTCAACGACTCATATGTGAAAATATCTCTTCTCGCTATTTTATTTATATATTCATTTCTTCTATTATATGGCACTGTGTCATATTGTATGGGCATTGAGTTATCTTATATGTTCTGGTGGCGAATACATGTATCTATATGTATATGTATGTATGTATGTATACATGTATCGATGTATTTTCACACGGCGTATGATATTTGTAGTGTTTAGGATACAAATAACATGTGTATATATATATATACACACACTTGAAGCGTGATGACTCTGAATTTCGATTATTTTTTTGGACATTGGAATCATGTGAAGCATACAAGCATATGCATTTTGAACCTTGGACCTTTATTCTAATATATAGGTGGCGTTCAAACCAAAGTAATTATAAGATAAGATTCAAATTCAACATGATAAATCTTTCCCAAACTATATATTCAAGCTAATCTCTAAATTTAGCGAGATCATTTGTCAAAATAGATATTAAACCCTAAAAAAATATTATTATTCTACTGTTGTCAAATTATTACTCTTCTTCTTTTTTTGTTTTTTTTTCAGATAAAAATAATTATGTATGATCCAAAATCAGGTGGTTTAGTTTTTGTTAACCCATTTTCGAATCTCCTTTTGAAGAAGATATTCACATGGATTTCTCTAATCAATCGGAAGATCGGTGAGGTTTTGGATTATAAAAAAATTATATATGTTTTAATCAAAGTAACTTCCAACTAAACGAACTCATTATTTATCTTTGTCTGTCTCCCACTTTCGACATGTAGAGTTTTTTTTTTTAAAAAAAATTGAGCTTATCTGAAATTCAATAATAAGATATGGCGAAATCACTTGCATTAGTGATGTCTACGTTAATCCAACGTCAATCAAGAGAGGAATATATATATATATATAATGTAATCTTCGTACGTATTTGGATAATTTTTTTATCATGTAATTCAAGCCACTAATCCAAGTGCCTTAACCACTACGACGGACGATGAAAAGATACTGTTTTTTTATATATCTAATTAAAAAATATGCCAATTTGCACATTGTGAAACGTGCTCTCGTGATCTCTAATAAAATGGCGAAACCTAGCCAATGTTGTTAATCTAGATTTTATGAGTCGCACTTATTTCACATTTTACATTTAAAACCCATTTTCTGCACACAAAATACAATTAAATATTCCACTTCCATAAAAAAAAAATGGAATAGTCGAGGAGAGTGGTTCAATTTTTGTGAGGTCGTTGTCTTCTATCCATTGGTCATCTCACCTCACGTCATTAATTCGAGATTTATGAAATCAATTACCCTTAGAATAAAATAAGAAGTCTACGAGTATAAATGTTCAAATCTTAAACAGAAAGAATATATAAAAAAATCGAAATATTTTTAGAAAAATGTTATTAGTTTTTAAAAAAAAATCCAGCTCAGAATAAATTCCAGTACAGATTATAATCAAAACTTCAAAAAAAAAAAAAAAAGGAAGATAATTGTGTGGATTTCAGATAGAAGATATTTTGAGACAAATTTGTTTTTGGTTACAAGGGAGACTAACACAAAACACAAAACTATTTTTATTGCATCATCATGGCAGAGCAAAGCACAAGCCTTTAATAAAGTCAAGAACATAAGAAGAGGGCTAATGATTCAATTCAAGACATTCCTATGATTCTCTCCTCTTCCATCCATCTAGGGTTTGCAGCGAGTGAATCATAAACAATCACTTCTACAAATTCTGTGAATTTCTTCAATTTCATGTTTTTGGTTATGGACTTTATACATCTGATGAATTGTTAGCTACTTCTACCCAAGAGACAATCAAATAATCTATAATTGGATCAGAGAACTATGCTTAACCCTTGCCTTTCTTTCCAGCATGTAATGAACTTGATTGATTCCTAAACCCTAATCATATAATCCCAAATGAGTCTACATAAACCTCCAAATCACAAACCTACAACAACATATCCTATATAATGGAACACTAAACAGTGAATTCGCAAATTTTCAAATCTAGTAAAACGTTTTGAATAACCCAATCAAATTGATACCGGCAAAAGGATAGCCATGCATATATGTTCTTCAAAAGTAAAGCATCAATTCCAAAAGATGATCTAAGTTTCAAAATTCGAAAGCAACAGGAAGGTAATCCAAAACATTGCGCATACTTGAACCGCAAAAACGGAAGGCCATCAACGGTAACTCTTCTGGAAACGAGCACGAGCACCACGACCACCGAACTTCTTCGGCTCGCACCTCCTAGGATCAGCCACGAGCAGTGTCCTGTCGTACCTGACGAGGATGTCCTTGATCTCCTTCTTCGACTGCTCGTCCACGTACTTCTGGTAGAACGCGACGAGAGCCTTCGCGATGCTCTGGCGAATGGCGTAGATCTGGGAGGTGTGACCTCCGCCCTTGACGCGGATCCTCATGTCGACCCCGGCGAAACGGTGTCGTCCGAGGAGGAGGATGGGCTCGAACACCTTGAACCGGAGTATCTCAGGCTGAATCAGCTCGATCGGACAACCGTTGATCTTTATCAGACCGGAGCCACGCTTGCAGTAGGTGACGGCCACCGCCGTCTTCTTGCGGCCGAAGCATTGAACAGATTCCACCGCCGGTTGTGTCGCCATGGTTGCGGAAACAAGAGAGGAGAGAAGAAAAACCCTAACGAAGTGTGTTGGGGGAGAATCTGACTGAATTTTGGGATTTTATAGTAAGGGCACAAAAAAGAGACGCTAGGGTTTTCTTTACCGAAACGCACCGTTTCACCAATCTGTTTATTAAAATTTTTTTTCACCACAATACAATCTCGAGCTTGGACGCAAACAAGATTTATATTAAAATTAAAATTTGCTTGTGGAAAACTGAATCTTCCGACGAGAAAATGTTCCTCCTCCTCCGCCGGCCCCGGAGAAGCTTCTTCTCGGCCATCTCCGGCGACTCCTCTGGCTTCGCCTGCTATCTCCGCCGCTTCTCTGCCATCCAGCCTATCCAATGCTCCGATCCCGTCCCGACCAAAGGCGACTACTTCGCCGCGATCAGTCGACAGTTGAACATCGTCCGCCGCGAAATTCACCCGGAGAAGGCGCTGAACC